TTGTTATCTACAAGAATCATTTATCAAAATGTATAATCAAAACCTAAAGCCTGATTTCATTTTGGAATGAGAGTAATATTGCATTATTTACATGTGATATCCACCGAGCCACAAATTGCCGGTTCTGGTCCCATCTCCCAAAAAAAAGAAGTATGGCCAGTTCTTGTCCCATCTCCAAGACAGAAGTATGGCAAGTTCTGGTCCCATCTCAAAGACAGAAGTATGGCCGGTTCTTGTCCCATCTCAAAGACAGAAGTATGGCCGGTTCTTGTCCCATCTCCAAGACAGAAGTATGGCCAGTTGTGGTCCCGTCTACCAAACACAAATGTGGCCAGTTCTGGTCCCATCTCCCAAAACAGAAATATGGCCAGTTCTGGTCCTATCTCCAAAAAAAGAAATATGTCCGGTTCTTGTCCCATGTCCGAGACAGAAGTATGGCTAGTTCTGGTCCCATCTCCCAAAACAGAAATATGGCCAGTTCTGGTCCCATCTCCAAGACAGAAGTATGGCCGGTTCTTGTCCCATCTCCAAACACAAGTATGGTCAGTTTTGGTCCCATCTCCAAGACAGAAATATGGCCAGTCCTGGTCCCATCTCCAAGACAGAAGTATGGTCGGTTCTTATCCCGTCTCCCAAACACAAGTATGGCCAGTTCTGGTCCCATCTCCCAAACACAAATGTGGCCAGTTTTGGTCCCATGTCCAAAATTAGATATATGGCCGGTTCTTGTCCCATCTCCCAAACTCAAGTATGGCCAGTTTTGGTCCCATCTCCAAGACAGAAGTACATGTATGCATGGCCAGTTGTGGTCCCGTCTCCCAAACAAAACATGGCCAGTTTTGGTCCCATCTCCCAAAACAGAAGTATGCTCGGTTCTCGCCCATCTCCTAGATAGAAGTATGGCCAGTTCTGGTCCAACCTCCCTGACAGGAGTATATATGGTCAGTTTTTGTCCCATCTCCTAGCTATATATAGATAGAAGTATGGCCAGTTCTTGTCCCACATATGTGGCCAGTTTTGGAATACACTTCAGTTTTTACGTCTACAAATTGAGCGACCAATTCATTATCTAGTCAAATTCTTATAATTAAACTTTACAACTAAAAAAGAAAACTTCTATAGCAAAAAAGTAGGTCTCATTATTATTTACACCAACAACAGTATTTTTTTATGAATGGCACAATTATTTGTTTATGTTTATCAATTAAATACCATGGTTTTCTTTTATGTTGATCAATTATAAAAGCCATGCTTTAAATGCCATGTGTGCAGGCTAGTTTGAGTGCCAATTTAGGCGAGTCAGAGTACCTTCTATAACCTCATCTACTCTCTCAAAGTTGGTTGCTAATAAGGCCATGTCTAGATCTTCACTTGTCATCGGGATACTTTTCCATACCGTCAGTTCAAAAAGTGACCACCATAGTGAAACCTTACCTTACACTTGATACAAAGCAATGAAAAAGCAAGTTACGAACAATATCAAACTATTAGATTTTTACTATAGCCTTGTAAATATACTGTTAAACTATGTCATACTCTATACAGGGAAATGTTCGCCCTGTCAAATTTTCACCTTCAACTGGTAGAATCTGTTATAGTATTAATTTCACCCATCATATGTTATTACTATATTATAGCATATCTTTTAACTGTTGACATTGAGACATGATATACAGGTAAACAAGGGATTAAACTGAATATACAGGTAAACATCAGGTAAACAAGTGATTACATTTAATATATACAGGTAAACATTGAGACATGATATACAGGTAAAAAAGGGATTAAACTTAATATACAGGTAAACATCAGTTAAACAAGTAATTACACTAACATATACAGGTAAACATTGAGACATGATAAAGAGGTAAAAAAGGGATTACAATTAATATACAGGTAAACATCAGGTAAACAAGTAATTACATTTAATATATACAGGTAAACATTGAGACATGATATACAGGTAAACAAGGGATTAAACTTCATATAAACAGGTAAACAATGAATTAATCTTAATAAATACAGGTAAACATTGAGACATGATATACAGGTAAACATTGAGACATGATGTACAGGTAAACAAGGGATTGATACAACGTGTTGTCAGATACATGTCAGTGGGGAATAATGAATACTTTATTGTAAGAATTTCAACAGTTTGACTCAAAGCAGGAATTCATGGTCTGGAATTTAAACTTAAATTTAAACTTTATATGATAGACATGATATTATTTTCTCAACATTGAGACGAAAGTGTCTGGGCCTGCCGTTATCAAACTGCTCTCAGGCGCAAACTTTTATTTCTTATTCTGTGCTCAAATCTTAACTTAAGTCAGAAAATACCTTTGAATGTTGCATGTTATTTGGTAGTTAAGTACCATTCCTATGTTAAAGCTTTACTTACTGATCCCATCAAAAGAATCTGATTTATATATAAAGCACAAAACATGAGTTACCAATACAGACCCAGATTTACCAATATAGGTCCTGGTTTACCAATACAGGCCCTTGTTCACCAATAAAGGTCAAGGTTTACCAATACAGGGCCTGGTTTACCAATCTGAATATAGGTCATGGTTTACCAATACAGACCCAGGTACCAATACTAGTGTGTAGTCCTGATTTACCAATATAGGTTCTTGTTTGCCAATATAGGTCCTGGTTTACCACTACTGGCCCTGGTTTACCAATACAGGCCCTTGTTTACCAATATAGGCCCTGGTTTACCAATACAGGTCCTGATTTACCAATATTGGTCTTGGTTTACCAATACAGGCCCTTGTATACCAATATTGGCCCTGGTTTACCAATACAGGTCCTGGTTTACTAATACAGGTCCTGATTTACCAATATAGGTTCTTTTTCACCAATATAGGTCCTGGTTTACCACTACTGGCCCTGGTTTTCCAATACAGGCCCTTGTTTACCAATATAGGCCCTGGTTTACAAATACAGGTCCTGATTTACCAATATAGGTTCTGGTTTACCAATACAGGCCCTGGTTCACCAATATAGGTTCTGGTTTACCAATACAGGCCCTGGTTCACCAATATAGGTTCTGGTTTACCAATACAGACCCTGGTTTACCAATACTAGTGAATAGTCCTGATTTACCAATATAGGTTCTTGTTCACCAGTATAGGTCCTGATTTACCAATACAGGCCCTGGTTTACCAATACAGGCCCTTGTTTACCAATATAGGTCCTGATTTTGCAATACAGGTCCTGATTTACCAATAATGGTCCTGGTTTACCAATACAGGCCCTGGTTCACCAATATAGGTCCTGGTTCACCAATACAGGCCCTGGTTCACCAATATAGTCCATTGTTTACCAATACAGGCCCTTGTTTACCAATATAGGTCCTGGTTTACCAATAAAGGTCCTTGTTTGACTGCAGCCATGNACTAGTGAGTAGTCCTGATTTACCAATATAGGTTCTTTTTCACCAATAAAGGTCATGGTTTACCACTACTGGCCCTGTTTTACCACTACATGCCCATGTTTACCAATATAGGCCCTGGTTTACCAATACAGGTCTTGATTTACCAATATAGGTCCTGGTTTACCAATACAGGCCCTGGTTCACCAATATAGGTTCTTGTTCACCAATATAGGTCCTGGTTTACCACTACTGGCCCTGGTTTACCAATACAGGCCCGTGTATACCAATATTGGCCCTGGTTTACCAATATAGGTTCTGGTTAACCAATACAGGTCCTGGTTTACCAATACAATTGAGTAGTTCTGATTTACCAATATAGGTCCTGATTTAGCAATACAGGCCCTGGTTTACCAATATAGGCCATTGTTTACCAATACAGGCCCTTGTTTACCAATGTAGGTCCTGGTTTACCAATAAAGGTCCTTGTTTGACTGCAGCCATGATTGTATATTGCCTTCTTTATGGTATCTGCTATAGGATCAGTCCTAATACGCATGGCACATGTACTTGTAATTACCAAAACAGTCACACTATTAAATGAAATCCAAAACTTACTTGTCAAAGCAACCATTCTGTAAAACATCCCTTTTCTCTTTAAGGTGTGTATGCTCCATCCTTAAGGCAATATCTAATAATGAATCTGTAATAAATAAAACCAACTTAGCAATGGTCAATATATATTGGAGTGGGGTACTAAGTGAAATTAGTGACTACATTACTGACCTCAACCTCTAGGAACTGGACTGACTTAAGGTGGCTCAATACACTACTTTTTTCGGAAGTACGTCACAAAATTGGACGCTGATGAAGATGTGTTGAGTAACCTTAACACTGCTTGTTTTCCTGATGATGTTAAATAACTACCCATTAGTTACATAACCTTAACACTGCTTGTTTTCCTAATGATGTTAAATAACTACCCATTAATTACATAACCGTCAGGAGAGCGGGCAATGATAATAGCTGGTGACATCATCATCAAGAGAATGATGTTAAATAACAATGACATCAGAAGATAAAGCAGTGTTAAATAGCTAGCATTACAGCTTCAACTCCTGGGCCCGTATTCATGAAACCGTTCTCATGCTCAAGCCAGACTCTGTGCTCAAGCCAAATTTCTTGAAACTCACTTAAATCGCGTCTAACGATAAAAAAATAAATTGTAAATATTAAAAAAACACATCCCGCTTTAGGTTTCTTCATATTTTTTCCCAAATAATTGACAAAATAAGATTTTTTGTATTAACCAAACAAGAAATTTGGCTTGAGCATGAGAACAGTAGCGATCAAGTTTTCTTTGTGAAAAAATAAAAAACAACTTTTAAGAAGCCTTGTAATGTATACAACTTGAATATTGCAAAATTATTTCCACAGGTTGATTAAATTCCTTTTTGAGTATGAGACATCCTTGTTATGAATACATCAAATGAATCACCTGCATTAACATAGTGAGTGGAGACGCGTGTAATGATCTTGTATGATATGTTTGATGTAGTTTACACAGTCTTTCAACACTACACAGTAGATATTTTATTGAAAGGGGAAAGTTTGATAAAAATTAAAACTAGATATTCCAGGAAAGAAAAATTATTGTTCATACCAAGTTGAATAGTTAATGCCCTAGCTAATCCTTATGGCAATCTTGATCTTGAATTGAATCAAATGTAATCAGATACGATAAGCTCTTTTTTGTTCAAATTTTATCTCAGGCAAAATACGACCAAGTAATCAGGATCCTGTGATGCGATTGCAGTACCAACTGACAAAATAACACTTACCAAAACTGAATTCCACAGCGTCATTAGGGTTGTTGGGTAGAACAAACCCATACTCTACTAACAAGTGAGCGTTGTCATGGTTACCGTAGGATATAAACACCTGATCGTACTTCCTGTATGTGTTCTCAGTCTGGATCTCATAGCAATTACTGTTTACATTGAAAGCTGCAGTTATCTGAAAGCAGACAATATTTTATGATTAAAAGGGGCAATCTCAGTGCAGATGCCATTTGCAAAACTGATACAAGGTGAACAGTGAAAAACATTGTTTATACATCAGTACCAGGAAAAGGATTGGGAAAGAATTGAACGACCAGAATATTTGTAGCTTATAACCTGTAGACAACTGGAATTAAAGCTACCTCACCACCCAATCCAGTCCTGCAACTCAACAAACACTAATTCATGATAAGATATATATTACCGTCCCTTTGATGTTTCTACCTATTGTTCTATAGATTTATGTGTTCAGGGAACACCCCATAATCAGGATCCTGTGATTCGATTGCATATATATAAAGAAAATCAGCTTTTATCGAATGAAAATCTATATTGTCATCTGTGATCTGTATTTCAGCAGATTACGTGATCTGGACTTACATTAGCATCATATGAATGGTTAAGCAGGTCCAGGAATGGTGCCAGGGCTAGGTGGTTCCCGTCAGCCAGGAATTCTTCACACAAGTTGTGTTTATAGTACACAGATCTAGTGTTGACAGAATACCAAGCCCACAAAAAATCTGGAAGTGTTATAACTGGTGCTAACTCAGGCCAGCAGGACCTGATAAAGTCTGTAACCAACTTAAATGCTGTGTGTACTTTTGAGATCTCTGTTGAGGCTCGTGACCTTACAGTTTTGGGTAGGAGATTCAGTTCAGTCTCGGAGAAAAAGGAAGGTGTAGTGTACTTCTTAGGTAATATGTTGATGTAAGGATACCAGAATGATGATTCATGTTTTGCTTTTTCAGCTAATAGAAAAATTGACATAGCTTGTTGAGAAGATAACCGTTTGTCCCATCTGAAACACAAATAATCAGAATTTATGAATTTGAACATAATGATCGTTATTATTGTAATGGATGCGTGCCTACAGTTCGTTACCAAGTTTTATCTTGGACCCAGTAACTGTTGTAACAAATAAATGCCGACAATATATACCAAATAATGGCCATCTATCTGACTCAAATAACTATTACCTAATGATTCAACAAACTACTGCCTCAAATCACTACTGCCTAAACTACACCCGGTAGACATTTTACAACTAAAACACTGTATCACAATATATCCATCACCCTGTATCAACAGTAAGTAGCGCCTTACTGCAACACCCGTGACTGTGTACACCCTTTACCGCGACACACCTCGACCACGTCACCCTTTACCGCCACTACCTTTTGAACAAATCACCCTAGATGCCTTGGTAAACTCTGAAGTATTGGTACAACCTGTGTCTTGGTACCTGTCACTCTGTATCTATCAAAAGTATGTCGCCCTGTACTGCTATACCCTGTGACTATGTGCACTACCCAGTAATACAATTTATTTTGACATAAACTATAAAGAAGTACAGTGGAACCCTAGCTTATGCAGCTTAAGGCCCAAACTTATTAAGCTTTGTCATTGCTTACCGTTTTAGGGGTGTTCGATCGCCATAGTAAGAGAGAGCTTTTCATCTGATGGAACCTCTACTTATGTACCTAGCCATCTAATGAAATGCCTTCTTTTATTAGCCAATAAAAACTACTCTTACTTCCAAAAGAAATAACTAGAGCAAATCTATACTATACATGTAGATCATTTATTGAACAATGCAATTACCAAAGAATCAATCGCTTCATTATTCAGGATCATGTCAGAAAATGTAAATTTGTGATCATTTAAGTTAAAGGGTACCAACAAGTTAATCTATAATATTACCACTGTCACGTGTGTGAAATATTTGTTTAAGACATTTGGAAAAGATGTATTCCATAAAAATCATGTTGTAATGCTTTTTACAAAGTTATAGCTGTTCAAAATTTGAATGTAATGAAATAGATATAATAAAAAATAGAACACAGAAAAACTGCAGGGGTCATACTCAGGTTCTTTCCATTGCAAGACATTCACTTTACCAATGTTGCCATATAGTAACTTTAATGGCACAGCATCAAAAAGAGTGTCCAATTTATGGGTGACAAAGCTTGAGAAAAAGGGAAACCATGACATGAACACTGAAGATACATGACATGACAGAACGTTATAATCTAATCAAGGAAAAATTGTTTTGGCATTTTTCTATAGAAGGGAAATTTTCTCCAATCAAAAAAAGAACTCTTCACTGTTATAACTGATACAGTGGTACCCTTGACCTTAAAGGATCATTCTGGGGAGGTTGGGTGGGGCAGTGGATAACGCACTCGCCTTCACCAAGGCGGGCGGGGTACGATTTCCTGATCGGACGTGTATAGGTATGGGGTGACCTGCCCGACTACGTGGGTTTTCTCCAGGCACTCAGGTTTCTTCCCATATTAAGATCCCTGCGCGCTAACCTCCAGGCCAACAAGAGTCGTTTATGTAAGTTGTAATGTTTCATTATTGTTGTAAAATAAATGAAGTATATTTATACATCATTTTGGTAAATTCCATGACTATCTAGGATCAAATTAACAAGTATTCTATGAGGAATGCTAAAGCAATACATGTCCCATACCAAACAATACATGTCCCATACCAAACAATACAAATATGAAAGGTAATGAAGTGATATTAATAGATGCCTGTCAATCAATTCTGCCTTTGTTTATGATAATGTTGATGTTTCAGCAGTTGAATAAAGGATATAATTGTATAAGTTTTTAGTGACTTACAACAACCATATAAACATTTTTTCTGTTGTAGATGTTGAGAAATATAAATATTGTTTTTCTTCTATCGACCAGCAGGTTTAACGGGGTGAAAGTATCCCGGTATACAGTAGTGGTTTCCCTTCATATCCCGCTAAAAAGTTTTGACAATGATAATTGTTGAAACAAAAACTAATCTTGCCTATGGTGAATTGTGACCCCTTGTGAAGTATGCATGGTGCTGTCACTTTCCTGGATATCATGGGATTTACTTTATCAGGTAATAACAACAGATCCTAGAAGGATCTTGGTGCCAACAATCAAAGTACAATGTATCTTTATCAGATCTACAAAAGATGATCTTTTACTTTCTTTGCTCTTCATTTTTCTTACTATTACCCAATCCTATGTTGAAAATCCTGAATAAGAAACTTGTACATTAAATTAAGCCTTGCAATGTCATATGTATTTTGCCACTATGGCAACAGTAATTGTATAAGAATATAAACCAATGTGTTTTTCCAGTCAGTTTCAAAACTAAACATGCACAACCATTGACCAAAGAGAACGTACATATGAAATTTGAGAAAGATGATCTCTTTAGGGCTTTCTGAGAAATAGAGATAACAATCCTTAACTGTCAAATCCAAGATGGCCACCGGTCGGCCATTTTGTTTATCTTATCAGCCTCAATAGTAAGCTTCTGCAGCTAGTGACTGAAGGGAACTTTCTGAGAAATAATGATAACAAGAATAGTTTAAGGACGGACAGACCACGGACAAAGGGCAAGTTATATAGCCCACTTTCTGATGATGGTTGGCTAAAAATTGGAGAAAACACAAAATGATATGCTTGTCACACAATTAGGTCACTTTATCCTTTCAAGCTAAAACATATTTTTACACTGGAGGATACAGTTGCGGAAAAAAATTATATCAAAGGAGATTTACTTAAAAGAAAAATTGACAACATTTACAGTAAAACTTGCTCACTTCCTAATATGACCTCTGAGACTTGTTAACACAGTGTGTGGAGTGATGAGGAGATGATGTGGGATAGATACAATGATGCTGCCTGGAGTGATGGGCTGGTGGGTCATCAAACCTCTACCAGTATCTGTGTGGAAAAACAGAGATATTAGAGACAGCATACTAACTTTTACACAATGTATATAACACTATGAACCAGTACAAAATAATAATAATAATAATAATTTGAGGTTCTTATATACCGCTTTATCACAACCTAGTTCATAGGTCGTCTCAAAGCGGTTCACAAATTATTATCCATGGTTAAAGGGCCTTGACAACCAGCCAATTTCTTTCTCAACTCCCGGTGCTGCCATTTCCGCGCTCACAGCTAGCATTTTACAATCCTAGCACTGCCCAACCACGTACTCATTTACAGCTGAGTAGACTGGAACAAGCAAAGTAAAGTATCTTGCTCAAAGATACAACCGGTGCCGTGCCTTGACTCGAACCCGCAACCCTTTGGTCACGAGCCCCGCATCCTACCACTAGACTACCGTGCCTCCAACAAATATACAACTGGAGATAAGAACACTGAGAGGAAGAGAATTAAGATAGACTTGAAAACTAGTTTTTTAAATAAGCAAGTATTTTAACATGAGACACTGTAAAATAAACCTAAAACAAAATAAGAGTATTACATACAAAGATTAAGTGATCTTTAAAAAATAAACATTCAAATCAGCTCTATTTGACCAAAGGAGAAATACGAATCTACATGTAATGACAGGTACAGCAATTTAATAAAGTTTAACTGTAGTCTAGTCTGCAAACCAGAATTTATCTCAGCATATTTTATTCTATTTTTTATTTTATTTTATAATACAATGGTAAACATTTCATACATTATCATCGTAGATCTAGAGGAACAAAATAGCAAGATTGTTTAAAAATCTGCATTGCTGTCTGAATTTCCTTGTGAGCTTACTCGCTGTTACCACAACGATGGATAGCCAGCACAGGCTCGTTCTATTGCCTTATTCTCTTTACTATTTATTTCTTGATCCTTGTACATCTGGTTGCATGATATGTTTGTCTGCAAAGATGTGGCAGTTATACCAGTAGGTCGTCCATGTCTAAGCAGTTTATTGCTTCATTGTCCATTTTTCAGGTTTTAATGCTTTAATCAAACAAAATTTGCCATTTGGTCTATTCTCTTTGAAATTGTTTGTAAAGCTTTCTCTCTTAATAATACAGCAATGCATTTCTGGATAGCATCTCTTAATGTTTCTGGATATTTAATATTTTAATCTATACCCTGCTGACTATAATTTATCTACTAACTAGATTATTTGAGTTCTGTCATGGACTTTTGTAATCTACTCCATTATTCTGTTAAGTAAAATTTATTTATACCAAACAGATTTTACTAACAATAGAGTTTAACCGACTCTTATTAAGAAGTCTATACCAGCTACATTGTATACTCTACTTACTAGAGTTTATCTAAGTTCCATTTAGTTAAGTTAGTTAACCATCATGAACAAGGAAAAAATTACTAAAGCCCCTTTTGCTGTACCCAGCTAGCAGTCAGACGTTGGTCAAATGTTGGGCCAATGTAACACCAAACATTGGTCCAAACATACGACAACCAGTGTTGGCTCGACATACGTTTGTCCACCGTAGTGAAGTTGGCTCGACGTCGGAGCTAAGCGTTGGTTAAATGACAGGTAACGTTGGGCCAACGCTGGCTCAACACTTAATTCTGATGTTGGCCCAACATTCTGTTAACGCATGTAATATAACGTTGGGCTAACGTCAGTACATCGGTTGTCTAATGTCGGGTACTGCATCTGGTGCAGTATTGTAAAGTTGGGCCAACGTCATTACATCGGTAGACCAATGTCAGGTACCAACTCAAGTACAACAGTGGTCACAAGTTGGTACTATACCTTTTGTAAAGGAAATGTAACACTGCATGGCTACAATTAACAAATGTCGGAATGATGTTATTATAATAATTATAATAATAATACTGGACGCAGGCAATATGCCTATATATCCAGATCTGGAATATCGTCAGACACTATGCTGACGCCCCAGCAATGAATAAGTTCATTATTGTCTATCTCATGGTTATAGAAACAATCAGGTTGTCCCCAATACTTATCCAGACGGGATATTACCCTTTTCCCTGCATGTACATTTTGTCAATCTTTCCGTCCTCACTTGTTGATGATCAATAAAGGAAGAAACACAAAGGGTAAGTATTTCGTTATGACACACCGATAATAAATTTACAAGTTCAATTCATTTAATGATAATCGAATAGTTTTGCATGAAGCAAATCCATATTTTTAGTTTGGTGAAACAAAATACTTGCACAATGTCAGCAATTCAAACAATGATATTAAAGTAACAGGAATGGCTTCTTTTGAATAAGTATTTATTTAGCCGCTGTTGTATGAGAAACACAGGCTCCTGGCTGCCATCTCCTGTTAAGCAACTTCGTGTGCACCTGAAACATACAAAATATTAAAATCATGAGTATTACTTTTAACTGATTTACCTCAATATTCTGCAGTTTAAACAACAAGAATTGTGATAATGATTTATCAAACAGTAGGATCATTACCATATAGCCTACATAGTATACTATGATTTGACTTCAATTTCAAAGAATTTCACAATCATGGAAAATTTTAACAAATTTGGATGAAAAATGAGGTCCCTTTCTACATGCACTAAACTAGTTAACTCATTCACCCCTGAAGACACATTTGAACTCTTCCATATCAAAGGATGGAAAAGTTCATTATGAAATTTCAGGGATGAATGAGTTAATCAACAGTGATGTACGTAAACAAAAATGATATAAATAAAATAAATAGAAATATCAGTATGGTACATGTAGCATATTGTTTACAGTATATGTTTAAATATTAGATTTATTCTTAAAGTATTAAATATTTCGATGATTTATATTATATAAATATATATTGATGGGATATATAGACGTATATATTGTTGTTAAACCTGAAGAGCCCTGTGAAGGGTGAAAGCAGCTAGTTTTTTTAGTCGGTCGTTAGATCTTATTTTTTCTATACCGGTATTGCTCTTTTGAAATAAACCTGAAGAGACCTAGGTGTGAAGGGTGAAAGCAGCTAGTTTTTTTAGTCGGTTGTTAGATCTTATTTTTTCTATACCGGTATTGCTCTTTTGAAATAAACCTGAAGAGACCTAGGTGTGAAGGGTGAAAGCAGCTAGATTTTTGGTCGGTCGTTAGATCTTATTTTTCTATATATTTATGTGATATATAGAAATTATACCAAATACATGTATCATGTTATGTTTCAATGAGTGCCGCGATTTTGACTCACATATGATGATTATATATACATATACCAACCGATATTTTTCATAGATTATGTGTATAATAAAATAGGATAGGTATGAAATGTATTTATGTAATCACAAACATATACAAAATTTCACACTATTATCTTATGAGTATAAGCAGATCGCGTGCATTAAATGTTTAATCCAGAAATACAGTGTAATTCACCTTCTAGTAGTAAGCATATTTTACTTTAAATAACAGTTAGTTACATGCAGACTGATAAAGAATATGAACAAAACGCATGACAACATATCTAGAGCATACTTACTTGGAATAATAGTCTTTTTGCAGCTTTGAAATACGACAAGTTTGTGTCCAGCATCAATTGCAAACAAAGGAGATGTATTTGGCAGAAACCGTTGACCCCCATTCAAAATCAGCAAGGATATATGTGCTGACCGTAGCTATATTTACGTGAGATAAGGGGATTTGCCGTCATATGTGCAATGTTTTGTGCATGGCAAATATTGGCATGATTTTTTAAAACATTCCTTATTCAAATTAACTTCGAAAAAAAATTCATATTAGAACTCCACGTTTGAATTAAATTCAGTTCAAATGTCTAGTTGTTGGCAATGCGTCGGCCCAACGTTGTAGAAAAACGCCAGCTTCAAACGAAATATATGCACTGTGTTATCGCATAAAAAATTGCAATGGTGTCAGTCCAACGCTGTAGTTATCTTTGTCGAACTGACCATGGCCCAACTGATGTTATAGAAAACAATATGTCGGCCCAACCAGGCACCGACATTATAGAAAACAATATGTCTGCCAACCAGGCACCGACATTTTAGAAAACAATGTCGGCCCAATGTGGCACCAATGTTGTGAAATACCAAATTTAAATAAAATACAGCAATGTATAAATTAATGTTCTGCAACGGTATCGCTCCATGCCTGTTGTATCAACTTCATTTTAAATGACCAGGTATATTAACGTTTTGTTGTCGGCCCAACGTGGTTCCGCCATTGTAGAAAACAATGTGCCGCCCAACGTTGCATGAATGTTATAGAAAAACAATGTCGGTTCAACGTGATACCAATGGTATAGAAAACAATGTCGGTTCGACGTGATACCAATGGTATAGAAAAACAATGTCGGTTCAATGTGATACCAATGGTATAGAAAAAAATGTCAGTTTAACGTGATACCGATGATATAGAAAAACAATGTCGGTTCAACGTGATACCAATGGTATAGAAAACAATGTTGGTTCAACGTGATACCAATGGTATAGAAAAACAATGTCGGTTCAATGTGATACCAATGGTATAGAAAAACATGTCAGTTTAACGTGATACCGATGATATAGAAAAACAATGTCGGTTCAACGTGATACCAATGGTATAGAAAACAATGTTGGTTCAACGTGATACCAATGGTATAGAAAAACAATGTCGGTTCAATGTGATACCGATGGTATAGAAAAAAATGTCAGTTCAACGTGATACCGATGATATAGAAAAACAATGTCGGTTCAACGTGATACCAATTGTATAGAAAACAATGTTGGTTCAACGTGATACCGATGGTATAGAAAACAATGTTGGTTCAACGTGATACCGATGGTATAGAGAACAATGTTGGTTCAACGTGATCCCAATGGTATAGAAAACAATGTTGGTTCAACGTGATACCGATGGTATAGAAAACAATGTTGGTTCAACGTGATACCGATGGTATAGAAAACAATGTCGGTTCAACGTGGTAACAATGGTATAGAAAACAATGTCGGTTCAACGTGGTAACAATGGTATAGAAAACAATGTCGGTTCAACGTGGTAACAATGGTATAGAAAACAATGTCGGTTCAACGTGGTAACAATGGTATAGAAAACAATGTCGGTTCAACGTGGTAACAATGGTATAGAAAACAATGTCGGTTCAACGTGGTAACAATGGTATAGAAAACAATGTCGGTTCAACGTGGTAACAATGGTATAGAAAACAATGTCGGTTCAACGTGGTAACAATGGTATAGAAAACAATGTCGGTTCAACGTGGTAACAATGGTATAGAAAACAATGTCGGTTCAACGTGATGCTGATGGTATTGAAAAACAATGTCGGTTCAACGTGATACCAATGGTATAGAAAATAATGTCAGTTCAACGTAATACCGATTATATAGAAAAACAATGTCGGTTCAACGTGATACCAATGGTATAGAAAACAATGTCGGTTCAATGTGATACCAATGGTATCGAAAATAATGTCAGTTCAACGTGATACCGATGATATAGAAAAACAATGTCGGTTCAACGTGATGCCAATGGTATAGAAAACAATGTCGGTTCAACATGATACCAATGGTATAGAAAAACAATGTCAGTTCAACGTGATACCGATGGTATGGAAAAACAATGTCGGTTCGACGTGATACCAATGGTATAGAAAAACAATGTTGGTTCAACGTGATACCAATGGTATAGAAAAAAATGTCGGTTCAACGTGATACCATCGGTATCACGTTGAACTGACATTGTTTTCTATACCATTGTTATCCCGTTGAACCGACATTGTTTTCTATACCATAGGTATCACGTTGAACCGACATTGTTTTCTATCCCATCGGTATCACGTTGAACCAACATTGTTTTCTATACCATTGGTATAGAAAACAATGTCGGTTCAACGTGATACCAATGGTATAGAAAACAATGTCGGTTCACCATGATACCAATGGTATAGAAAAACAATGTCAGTTCAATGTGATACCGATGGTATAGAAAACAATGTCGGTTCAACGTGATACCAATGGTATAGAAAACAATGTCGGTTCAACGTGATACCAATGGTATAGAAAACAATGTCGGTTCAACGTGATACCGATGGTATAGAAAAACAATGTCGGTTCAATGTGATACCAATGGTATTGAAAAAAATGTCGGTTCAACGTGATACCGATGGTATGGAAAAACAATGTCGGTTCAACGTGATAACAATGGAATAGAAAACAATGTCGGTTCAACATGATAACAATGGTATAGAAAACAATGTCGGGTCAACATGATACCGATGGTATAGAAAACAATATGTCGGCCCAATGTCGGTTCAATGTGATACCAATGGTATTGAAAAAAATGTCGGTTCAACGTGATACCGATGATATAGAAAAACAATGTCGGTTCAACGTGATCCCAACGGTTCAACGAGATACCAATGGTATGGAAAAACAATGTTGGTTCAATGTGATACCAATGGTATAGAAAAACAATGTTGGTTCAACGTGATACCGATGGTATAAAAAACAATGTCGGATCAAAGTGATAACAATGGTATAGAAAACAATGTCGGTTAAACATGATACCGATGGTATAGAAAACAATATGTCAGCCCAACGGGATACTGATGGTATAGAAAACAATACGTCGGCCCAATGCAGGATCGATGTTGTAGAAAACAATCTCGGTTCAAGGTGATACTGATGGTATAGAAAACAATACGGGTTCAACGTGATACCGATGGTATAGAAACCAATGTCGGTTCAACGTGATACCGATGGTATGGAAAAACAATGTCGGTTCAACGTGATACTGATGGTATAGAAAACAGTATGTCGGCCCAACGTGATACTGATGGTATAGAAAAACAATGTCGGTTCAACATGATACCAATGGTATAGAAACCAATGTCGGTTCAACGTGATACCAATGGTATAGAAAACATTGTCGGTTCAACGTGATAACAATGGGATAGAAAACAATGTCGGTTCAACGTGATCCCAACGGTTCAACGAGATACCAATGGTATGGAAAAACAATGTTGGTTCAATGTGATACCAATGGTATAGAAAAAAATGTCGGTTCAACGTGATACCGATGATATAGAAAAACAATGTCGGTTCAACGTGATAACAATGGAATAGAAAACAATGTCGGTTCAACATGATAACAATGGTATAGAAAACAATGTCAGTTCAACGTGATACCAATGGTATAGAAAAACAATGTCGGTTCAACATGATACCGATGGTATAGAAAACAATATGTCAGCCCAACGGGATACTGATGGTATAGAAAACAATACGTCGGCCCAATGCAGTATCGATGTTGTAGAAAACAATCTCGGTTCAACGTGATACTGATGGTATAGAAAACAATATGTCGGCCCAACGTGATACTGATGGTATAGAAAACAATACGTCGGCCCAATGCAGTATCGATGTTGTAGAAAACAATGTGTCGTCTCAATGTGGAACCAATGATTATGAATCACAGCTTTAAAATGAAATATATTACACTGTAAAATATGTAACAATGTCATTCCAACGCTGTAATACCCCTATTAAACCGACCATTAAGTTTATATTTTATTCAAATGCTTTTCAGCCCAACGTGGTCCCGACGATGCAGAAAGCAATATATCGGCCCAACATGGTACCAACTTTTTAAATCGCCAACTTTAAACGAATTATATTATATAAAATTGTTAGTTATGATGCAACTGTGTTGGTCCATTGATGTATGAACGTTTGTTAAACCGACCATGTCATTTTTATTTTATTCAGACATCGCTTAATGTCAGCCCAACCTTGTACCAACGTTGTAAACCCGACATTTCAAAATAATGTTGATGATAAAGAAACACATATATCGAGCCTATTTTGAAAATTGAACGAAGTAGCATCTTTGATATTTGCATGCTATTGGTTGTATTTCAACTGTTGCGCCAATGTTGGCTAACGTTGCAAATTATACTGTCCTTAAACTGTCGTTTTCGTATGTTGGACCAATTTTGCAAATGCGTTTGCGACCTTGCTGACCGACCGGGACTTTAGCCCAACGTACCTTTGCTAAGCTGGGGTATTAGTATTTTTAAATGTCATTACTATTTAAACAGTTATATTAGGAACTATATTTCCTTGAAATACATTCAATTTCAGTTCTAATAAAACATCAAATTAAAAAAGAATTCTCTGATATTTAACAGACTAAAATAGAAGTTCACTCTGAAAAACGGCCGAGCTCAAGAAAGGATGCTTTGGGACAAATTGGTTTCTTTTCATCCACTGGCACAATGCAATATATTCTTGGTTGATATATGGGATCGGTGATGATTTCTCCTTTCTTCTCCGTATTCGTAATGTACGACTGGCTTTGCTTTGATTACTAGCCATGTAGTCATACCATCAAATGTACAAATCTAGGAGTAGCTATAACACTTCATAGGTTCATGTTGACATGTTGACATCAATCACATGGCTAACACATGCCGGAAGTTGACAAAGTGAAACTATACGAGACTCGAAGTAATTACTTTCATATCCAAGAATACGTTTTCTCTTTCGCATTTTTTTTAAATTTCCCATATCCTATTTGAAACACTATAAGTAAAATCAATAATAGTTTGATGTGTTTTCTTTATGGATTATTGTTTAAGCTTTACTCATTATTTTATCTGATAAGTTTGTATCTTAGTAGTCGACATTGTAAATTTCTGTTCGTGCCTCAGTATACAACAAAAATGGCTGCCCGTTATCCATCGGGCATCCAAACGAGCCGAGTAAGTTTCAAAACATTGCGGGAATTATGAACTTTAGATTTTTAAAAGTTTGACTGAATAAGTGAATTGAGGTAAACGCATTGTTTTAAATCTATTTCAGGTTAGTCCTGCGTATCTCCATGGAAATTCAACCAGTCACACTTGGGCGTTTAGTGCGGTTGCAGAACTTATCGGTAGGAACCCTACGAGATTTCATGGAAATACTGTTTTGATTTCTAACCTTGTTTCTGTTTGCATAGCTAATGTGTTAATTACTTATTTTACGAAGAAAATTTCATACTGAAAGTAGGATAATAGCTTAGATTTACCAGGTAACGTTAGAGCACAATGGCTCATATTTTGGTTTCAACAAATTGTATTGTATTTACAAAAGGATTATATTAGTCTTGCGGCGCGTCTAATTACCCAATACTACACAGTACCACCCAATACTACCACATACGACCCAGTATGAAACAAATACTTCTCTATTACTGTGAAATATCACCTTTGTAGACGTTATTTACTTCCATCTGCCACATTTTATCGAGAAATATGCGATTTGGTACCGAAAACATCACCGAATTGCCGTGACTNGCTAGGGGTTCGGCGATTTACAGGAACGTGCAGGAATGGGCAGAAATCTATCAATTATTATTATATATATACATTAATGAATATATATATTAGATACATTTAAGCATCATTATCGGGTATAAGATATAATTGATAAAATAATTGCTAGTACATGATACTATAGTAATTCTATTCATGTCATAAAATGGTGTTATTAAGATCATATATATAAATTTAACAGGAAATATTTAGAAAATTTGAAATTACTTTTCAAAAATGTTGGTTATTCAATTTTGTGAAATATAACAGTATCAATTATATAACAATGCTGGAGAAGAACCTTCATTTAAATTAGATACTCAAATACTATGAAATTCAAAAAGTATATGGATTGTATATGATTTGAAGTCTTTTCAATTACTTGATTAACTCACAGATAGTCTGTTTTGGACAAGCTAGATATAGTTCTCTGACCAATCTTATGAAGAGTAGGTTGTCAATAATCAATGTAAAAATTAAATAGATAAATAAAAGGAATTACGTTATGCTTCTTATACATCAATCCAGAGATGTATATATACGTCTTTGATCATCCGAAAGCAAAATACTAAATGACATGAAAACTTGATTCGACTCCCAGAGATACTGTATACACATACATACTTTTAATAACCCTGAGTTTGTGACACTAATTAAGAAATAACAGAAATCTGTTATCTGGAGTACGGCTCCATTCTGGACTCGGGCAATGCAAATATCCCGACTCTGTGCCCCCGGGCACTTAACAATCCAAGTTCCTGATGGTACAATAATGAGGTGTATACTGGTACCGAATCTAAATCACAGTTACAGGTTAATATATATATTATAATTTAATTTTATAATGTCTTCCGAGGAATTACCAATTCCACTTGCAAACCACTTATATAATATGTACAGAAGACGTAGCAGTCTATGTGATTAGTTATAATTTTGAACAGTGTCTTGTAAGCCATTTTAGGCTGAATATCATATACAAATTTTACATTTTCTATTTTATGCATTTGTTAAATATGATACCAGGTGTCAATCAGAATTTTTTTTATGAAAACAATCTTCCGTTTAAATTATAATTAGCTACTAACTATAGTTAGTGAGAAGTTAGCAGACCTCGCTGGTAGGGGGCTCCCCAACCCTTGGAAACCTAAATTTCACTACAATGTAGAACTAGGAAATTATTCATCTTATTTATTACCATTGCTAAAAAATAAATAAAGACATGTTTTAAGGCAGTAAATGTAAAAGAAACCTTTTAACTATTACAGTATTTAATATGTAAGGACAAAATCCAGGAGTGTGTTAGGTATAGGGGCTGTCCCAATCACCTGCACCTGGATTGGCACATGTGATAGTTTGTTTTAATTTATTAATTTATTATGTATAATAGTTGTTCTTAACAAAATTATGATAAGGACTATATATTTTTACATTAAGATGATTGATATTTACTGTGTAACTATATACTATGATAAACAAAATTGACTTGACTTGACTATATATATATATTGGTTATGCAATGATGACGAAAACGGAGATAAATTTTGAATAGAATTGGCAAATAGAGGATTTTCCCCAAAATAACTTATAGTCAACTAAATTAGAACAAATGTTTAAATAATATTACTATGCAATGAACGTTATAAAGGTATTGACGTACATGAACATTCTACGGATTTTTTTTTAGTTATAACAACTATCGATATAATATGTATAAATATAGATTTGGTCCAATATATACTTAAGATACATGGTTCTGAAAAGTAAATCTACTCTTACTAAACATTCGTCAAATTTATTTAAACAAATTTAAGTCTTTAAAAACAGCAAGTTACATGAATGCATATCCACAGACTTTATCCAATTCCGTGTACAATATCTAATTTTAAACATAAACTTAGTCCCGTGCAATTGAATAGATTCTTGATATATGAAATCCATTTAAAATCAGCGAAATCATTTTCATGTAAATTCAGCATAAGCTTGCACATTATACTAGACAATTTCTTTTCACCTGTAATTAGTTTATACCAAAACATTATCCTTCTAGATTTAATTTCAATAATCAGAGGATACCTACCCGTTTCACCATATAGCATTATATTTGCTGTGGAGCTATGTATGTTTTTTTTTTTTTTTACAAAACTGTACATGTAATTTCTCAATCATATTGGTATTTTCCAACCCCAAAACTTATGAGGAGTACAAAAGGATTGGGGATATTGATACATCAAACAATTTTAATTGTAGGTCAATTGGTAAAATAATATTTCTTAGTTTTTTTTTATATAATGCAAACATTGCTTTTTGAGCCTGTTCAACAAGTTTTTTTCTTGCTTTACATAAACTGCCATTATAATGAGATAGCAGTCCTAGAAACGACTAGCTGTCATGTGTTTGCAACTCTTCACCAAAAAGAGTAAAACATATTTTGTGCAATTACTTTTACTGTTATCAAAGATAACAACTTGAGTTTTATTGAGAATAACTTTAGGTTTCCAAATAGTACAGTAAGTTTCAAATTCACCGAAAGCATTCTGTAGACCTTTAGCTGTTTCTGACATAACAACTGTGCCATCTGCATATATAGCAGAATAAATAATTTAACAAATATACCCATGCATTCTTGAAATAAATTATCAATATACTGGAATTGGTCAACATTAATTTGCATGAAAAATTCTTCTAAATCATTTAAATATATTGAGAACAAAAATGGGGAGAGATTTTCACCTTGTTTTACCACGACGTGACATGTGAAAAAATCAGTCATACCATTGCTAGTTTTTACGCAAGATTTAGTGTTTGCATACAGATTAATTATAGCATTAAATATCTTTCCTGCGATAATATTCTTCAATAATTTCTTCCATAACCCCCCTCCAAACAGTATCAAACGCTTTTCTGAAATCAATGAATGAACAGAATAGCTTTTTACTTTTTGAAAAGTATATAGATATTAAAGCATGAAGGATAAGTATATTTTCAGTTGTAGAGTAGCCTTTCCTAAAACCAGCTTGAACATTGGAACAAGAAGTCTATTGTCTAGTAATACGGGATTTTAAAATCAGTTTTGACCGCATCAGCCTTTGAAAAAAATGAAACTTAAAGCGTTTCACCGTGTTTCTCTCTTCTTTACATATATAATTAATATACAATATTGTTTTTCTAAAACAGATAAGGCCTAACAATCCAACATATGGACTTCAATATTTATTTACGTAAAACACGTATTTCAATTAACTTATATTTACATATAGAATAATATTTAATTTTCAGATTGATGTCCCTTTTTTGAGTTGGAAAATTGCGTTTTTTTTTTTTTTTTTAAGATCGTAGACGTGATGGGATTGTAATCTATACATTAACACCAATTAATTCATGCTATTTATTTAGAGTTGAGTATAAGTTATCAAGTTATCAAAATTTGGTTATCATAATGTCATTTCCGATGTTTCAGGTGTTATGACATCGCAATAACAATGTCTCATATATACATGAGAAAATAACCCAGATTCATATTTATTATATATGTAAAATATAATTCTCTGAACAACCCTTTTTTATAGAATAAAACAGAGACATATATATGTATATTGGAACATCGGCCTGGCAATTTATACAAATATTTAGCCCGATCCTGCCCCGTTCCTGTAATTGCAATTCTTTTATCAAATAAACCTTATACCCGATAATGATACTTAAATGTATCTAATATATATATTCATTAATGAATATATAATAATTAATAGATTTCTGCCCGTTCCTGCCCATTCCTGTAAATCGTCGAACCCCTAGTCACGGCATTTCGGTGATGTTTTCTGCACCAAATCGCATATTTCCAGATAGGATGTGACATATAGAAGTAAATAAAAAAAAAGTAAATTTCGCAGTAATAAAGAAGTATTTGGTTCATAACTGGGTGGTATGGGATAGTATTGGGTGGTATTGGGTAGTATTGGGTCATAGTCACGGTAATACGGTGATGTTTTCGGAACCAAATCGCATATTTCCCGATAAAATATGGCAGATGGAAGTAAATAAAGGGGATATTTCACAGTAATAAAGAAGTATTTGGTTCATAACTGAGTCGTATGGGGTAGTATTGGGTAGTAGTGGGTGGTATTGGGTGGTATTGGGTAGTATTGGGTAATTAGACGCGCCCGTGCCTATATTAGTCTTGTCCTGAACCGGTACAACATATATACATTTACACAGAATAATAAGATATATTTACAAAATAATCGATAATTAATTACTTATTGAAATAGATGGACATTTATATCGAAAATATGTATATATATGTTTGAATTAATGATATGGCTGATTGTTTAAACTACACTTAGGGCCTAATACCAAGGCTCAATCTTCTACCAGTGGGTAAATGTCTAGGTCACTTTTGATGTTTTTCCGTATTTGCATATTGCAGAGTTATCTTCTCTTGGGAGCAGGTATTGATTGTTACGTCACTTATTTGTGAGAATAACGTCATCAATTTTTTGAGAAAACGACGTAATTTTCTCACACAGACCAATGAGGTAACAATCAATACCTGCTCCCAAGAGAAGATAACTCTGCAATACGCAAAGACGGAATAGTACAAGTTCTACACCACTGGCAACATACATACTTCTAAACACACATGCACACATACTCGGAGCAGATTGATATAATGGGAAGTATTTAATAAAAATATACTAATCATATTCGAGTTAGATGAATCTATTAGTTAAATCAATAAATTTCTCAACTTTAGATAATATATAATATAACGACTCATATGGGTAATAATACTACATTTGGGTAACAGTTACCCAAATCTAGGAGTAGCTTTTATGCTTCATTAGAATGTGCTCATATATGGGTAATAATACTGCATTTGGGTTACAATTACCCATTTGAGTAACAATTTTATTACTGAAATAGGGATAAAATGAAATGAAAACATACAAGGTTCTTTTAAAAACTTGGAGCAAAAAAGAGTGTTATAATTATTCATGATCAGTGAGCAAGAGTTTGAGGTTGTATCAACATTAAGCCTAGAATGTTACAGATTTTACTGATAGATCTAAGATCACAACTGTGATATGTGTTTGATATGAAAATAATATGTCCTGTAAACTGATGAAAAATACGAATTAATGATATCTGAATATATAAATTATGATTTTTTTTTAAAAGAGCTGAAAAAAGACTGAAAATTTCAAAGTAATATCTGACACTGTAATGCACAGGATTCAAGCTTAATGTATAATTCCCCTGAGACTTACTAGTTACATGTAAGATGTGTAGAGGTAGTGGACTCAGTTGAACGCCAGCAACCATGAAGGTTAAGGTCAATTAGTAGACAGTCCGTAAAGAGTTTGGATGGTCACATGTTCGATTCCCAGCCGTTTCATTTTTTCCTCTTTACATTTTATGCCCAATGAAATGTACCTGTGGAAGGTGGTATATTGGTTGAATGTCCATCTAGATTTTACTTCAACATTGAATCCCGGTCTGTCTGTGCAGTTCACATTCCAACAGTCATGATATTATTTCTGCTTATGAAAATAAGTATTTCCAGGTTTTTTTATAGGGATGATTGACAGTGCCAAATTTAGGTTCAAATCACAATAAGATCTTGGAATGAAGTGATGGCTTTGATATCATTGTTTACCTCAGACTCATACTTTGACACACACACAATATACAGTGTCATTCTGTAAGTCTTTCATGTTAGGTCATGATTATTTCCCATTGTATTCCTTGTTAATTTACTTTTTACAATTAAATTTTCTGACATCATATTTATACCTTAGAAAACACTTTTTGTGAAGCCATTTTGTAGTCCAGTGATGTCTGTGTATTTTATTTATTTAGATTTTATCAAATTCATATAACCAATTTGACAAATGTCAATGAATAATCAAGGTATGAACCAAGTCTTTCTCTTAATCCCTCTGAGCATGACAATACTTTGATCCTTGAAATTTTTCAGCTATACTATACACAAAACCAGAGCTGAAACAAATGTTTAAATGATAAGTTCGCAAATATGTGTAATATATATAGATGTGAACCCAATTTTTTTTTTTTAAACTGTGCCACATATGATGGATTGTGCAACTTGGCATCATACCTTACAAACTTTAGCCATTCCAATAACTCTGTATTTCGCATTGTTTATCGCTCAGTCTCTATCCCTGAGAACAAAATAGATGGAGGGAGTAAAGACAAATGTGATCGAGTTTTAATATTATGATTACAATTTTAATGAGCAGATAGAAAGCATATGTAACTGTTGCAGTAAATTTGTATTGCGTTATCATAAGTGGCTTAGAATTTCTTATATATATATAATAGCGCTGTCCTTCACATTGTGACAATGTCACATCCTATAGAAAACATTTGAGTTGGCATTTGTTGATGTTCTATATATACATATGACGTTGTTATTTAGTAAATTTAAATTCCATACCTTCAAAATGGATATATACAGATGCATCTCTGAGTGTTCCCACTGAGTTTGAGATTTAGGGATATATATTTGATACATTTGTTAAATTCTGTACCCCTAGGCACTTAGTTACATATAGTGATTGTTGGAAACTTGGGGTACAACCAAATGTTTTTGGTGTGAAACCCCCTCATTTGGGGCTTTCTGAGAGCACTAATCTCTTCATTCTCTTGACTGACAAATGCAACAACTACTCAAAATGTACATTTTTGGGGTAAATGACATCAAAACAATTGGAATCATTGTATTTTTTCTCACAAAATTTGATTATGTTAATTTAATTACCAGTGACCTTTATTAAGTATTCGTAACTGTTTTCTCTTATTAGACAATGCCTATGACCCTGATGTGAATGCATCAGAAATTTGGATTGACCAGAGGCTGATCGACAATAAGGTTTGTCTCACGTTTGTAGACAATGGAAATGGAATGACACCAGACAAACTGCACAAAATGCTTAGGTATGTTGTTTTCTACATCAAGTTATACATACATGTATAACTGTAATGACTGAGTGCTGCAGAGTAATATCACATTAATTATATAACCGCACTTAAGTTTTCTTGTTTTCAAATTGTTTGTTGTATATATATGTCCATTAGATTTGAATGTCATTTAAGAAATAAGAAATTTTGTGTTTGACTTTTATAACAAAACCATATTCTTTGCATAAAGAGCTCACATTGTATGTGTTAAGTCTGAATATAACTGTTAAAATTTGATACACAAACATAGACGGTAATACCTAGCTATATGTAATATCAGGTTGATGTTGTCAATTGCTCTGAACAATTTATTAAACCTTTAACATACATGTGTCATTGTGTTTTTGAAAAACTTTGGAATTATTGTAAATGATATAGAGTGTGCTAAATACATATTAGTATATAGTCATTTAAATACATATTGGTACGGTATAGATATATTATTTACAGTAAATATGTTTTAGATTTGTTTATATTTATTCACAGCTTTGGCTATTGTGAAAAAGATAAGTTTGCCTCAGGTAAGCACCAAGCTGTAGGACAATACGGTAATGGATTCAAGTCTGGATCCATGCGCCTTGGAAGAGATGCCATAGTGTTTACCCGTCAAGTGAACACCATGAGTGTGGGTCTCCTGTCACAAACCTATCTCAACAACATCAATGCACAAACTGTACTTGTGCCCATTGTCACATGGAACCTACCTGACAGTATCCTTTTTGGAATCATCAATATGTAGAACTTTTTCAATTCATTAATTTCTCTGATTACACACGATTTATTCTGAGAAGTTGATTCAAAATCACCTGTTCATTTTGAACAATTTAGTACTGCAAATATTATTTTCAAAAGAATTTCTTAAGTAATATGAAATATAAGAAACAAAACCCTAAAGCACATTATTGTTGACAGGTTGGTGGTTGATGCATACATTGATTGATTGCTGAAGTGATAAATATATATGATTGTTCACCAAAGAAAAATAGTCCTTTAGGTAAAGATGTAAATATTACTGCTTTGCATTCATATTAGCATAAATTATGTGAATGTTAAGAACAATGCTGTTCCATACTAGGTATATTTACATTCTAGAACTTATTATGTTTATTATTAGTGATCTAAATATAAGAATGTCATAACTGCAGTATGAAGTGTCAGTATTGCCAGTGCACGAGTGCAAACAATATTTCATCACATAAGCATTTCAAGAAGATCTGGCATTATGTGTGGCAGGAAAAGCATCCAGATAATACTGATCTTGTTGTATTCATGATCTGACAAAGTCCATTTCCTGGTAATGTTCATACAGTAGGTGGCTACTAGCACAATATAAATATAGTGTAATTCAATTTGCTATGGTGATGTTGCGACCCTTGACCTATCTAAGAAAGGAGAAAACCAACACCAGACATGGCACATAACCTGCGAGCTATCTGTCAGCATTCCATATTTAAGACAGAAAAAGATTTGTTAGAAGAATTAGATGTCATGGAAAAATTAAGGACAGGAACTAAGATAATGGTCTATAATTTGAAAAGGTACAGTATTTGTATTGGTTATAACTTTGCAAAATGAAAGAACAAAACATATTCAGTTTACTAACTTATTTATTAGATATTATTCAAAAATATTTGCTTTTGGGCTATTGGAGTGAATATTAGTAAGATTTATATTTATTTTATTTACTTTTGTAAGATTTGAAATAAATATTTGAAATTGTAAAATGATAGTAGATTAATTATATGCGATTATGAAAAAAAGTGGCTTTCCAATTTGTTATAAGGAGACAAATATTTCTTGAGTATTACATTTATATGTACGTAACCTTTATCTTATAGGAAAGAAAACAAAGTATTGGAACTAGACTTCAGTAGTGATCCACATGATATAAGAAATCCTGAAACACACATGATGGACTTCTCCACCATTAATAGGGCAACCACAGATCATATACCAGCCTATATGGTATCTCTAAGGGTGCGTTTACAATTGATTTATATAGCCAGCATATAGTACCTATCATTGATTTATTCAAAAGAGTTTCTTTAGTAAAATTTGGGAGTTATGGTAGGTTGAAGCAAGTATAGTAACTGGTAGGTTCCTAGCCAGCATATAGTTACTCTTGGCCAACCAGCATTGTGAATATATGGTAGCTTGTAGCTAGCAAGTATAGTTAGTTACTCATTTAAAATATCCATCAGCGTAGTACTTGTCATGGTACGTTGTAGTAAGTAACTTACCCTAGGTGGTTATAGTTGTACAATTGTAGTAACTTTCAGTGAAGGTTTATGCAGTTTTTTACCAGCTTGTATTGTATCTTCCAGTGTAGCCTTCTGGAAATTCTTTGAAGACCTTATGCATGTACTTCACAATCTTAATAAGATAACCGCTTACAAACTACCTATTTAACCATTAAGATTAGATTAAACCATAGTTTCTTTTTGTTTTCTATAAATTGTTGTATGCAAATGGAATTTCTCTATTTTCAATTCCTAAAAGTATTAGAGAAATCAGATTTAAATACCAAGCATGGGTAAATTGTGTCATTTTCTTTAATGATGGACATTGATATTTTGTGATTAATTACAGGAATATTGCAGTATACTGTACTTAAAGCCTAGAATGAAGATTGTTCTGAGAGGGAAAAAAGTGAAGACAAAACTTATTCACAAGTCATTGTCTCAGACGGAAACCGATGTCTACAAGCCAACCTGGGCAGTATCCTTTCTTCCACAAAAGACATGTGATAATCAAGTTTTGCTCTAAGTCGGAATTGAATTTAACCCTTTGAATATGTAATTTAGGTCAAAATCATAAACATAAGTACATTTGTAAAGAATAGGTTTGTTTTGAACACAAACAGGAATTGAAAAATTATTTTGCAAGCTTTAGAAAACACCCACTTAGGGACGGAATGGGTAAACATTTTACCCTTCCCCTTGACTGCCTGCAGTATTAAAGTGCAATTGGGTGAAATGTCTCTACGATTTTTGACAGATGACTTTTCTTGATTTGGCCCACTGAGACTTCGTGAGTTGTTTTCAGCGGTTTAGAGTCGAGACATCGGTCATTTGCATTCTTTGCTTGACAAAGGGAACAGATGTTTTTGAAAGCTTGGAAAATAAGATTTCCATTCCTGTTTGCATTCAAAACCAACTTAGTCTTTATTATTCATACCAAACTGATGAATCCTATTCCGAGTAATACATTTGCCCTCTTGTTCAAGGGTGAATACAAAACGGCGTAAATGATTCCAGTTGTCCAGTGATTACATTAACACTTTTTGTGTCAATGTAAGTAAAAAAATATCCTTGAGAGGCCCTTAATGTTGTACAGTTTTGTCTTATATTCCTGTAAGCTCCAAATTTCTTTCATTGGGACCCCACTTTTGTAAGCCTTAGCACTATCGCTAGCAATACATTTCTGTAACCAGCTGTTTTAATTGGTGATCAAGAAAGTATTTTTTAATACTGTTAATTTATGATTTACTCCCGAGATAGCATTAGCCCCTTATGACTTATTACAATTAGGAAAAAACTGTCTTACTGTGTCGTTTTAGAATGTTGTTTAACCTTGCTCTTTGATTTTCCTTAATTGTGCTTAGCCAAAACCCATTCCCATAAAATTTGGGTTTGCTCCTCGAAAAAATTACAAAGATTATGGCGTTATGTTGTATCACAAGAATAGACTGATAAGAGCTTACGAGAAGCTTGGCTACCAGAAACAGGTAAATATGTTGTATTGACATGAGAATTAGAAGTACCAGTATATAGATTCATTTGTAAACATATAAAGTAAGAGGGTTCTCACCACCTCGCAACAGTGTTTGTATTTCATCGGCTTATAATTAGTTCTAGTACATCAGGCCCAAGTTTCACTATCATCCTCAACCTTGGGGAGCAAATTAGCACCTTTTTATTCCTTTTAACAGATTATGAATTTCTAAATTTGTAAAGATATTTGACAAAATTATCAGAAATTGAAACCACATCATTATTATTGTTTATACCTGTTAGTGTGATGTTTTATATAATGTTATATTAATCTTCCTTAAATTTAAGGCTGTTTGTAAGTTTGTGAAAGATTGTTGAACAAGGTTATGGACACTTGTATTTACCATATAAAAAATGAGGTAGATTTCAGAACCAAAATATGTAGCAAAACATAAATCACTGAAATGCATACAGTTGATTGTTCATACACACAAAAAAATCTACAATCTAAAAGGATCAGATGATGAGAAAAATTGTTAAGACAATTCAGAAGAAAGCAGGATGAAGTATTTAGAATGCTAAATGACACACATAACTTTTAAACAGATTTTATAATGTAGTACATATACAACATATTGCATAGATTTTACTGATTGTTGGTGTGTACAATTTTTTTATTTAGAGTCCATTTCAAAATTTTGAATTTTTACTTACTAAACCTACTATTTCATTGTTAACATTTTTACTAGCCCTGACCATAAATTTGCTAGCCTCAGGATAACGCCCCTAGATTGTAGGCTGGAGTGATGAGTACATAAGAGATTTTAATCATTGTTTGTTTACTAGCCTAATGAACTGGGACTGGGAGTGGTGGGTGTGGTTGAGGCCTACTTTCTGACCCCTACCCACAACAAACAGGACTTTAACAAGGATGAAAAGTACAAGTAAGTGCTTGTTGTAAGCCTGCAATCATCTGGTAAAAGTATCCTGATTATTTCCGGAGAAAATACCAGGTACTACTTCTTAAGGAGCAAATTCATGCTATAGTAAGTCTTCCATTTTTTTTAACTTGTAGAGCTCTGGAAACAGTATTTAGATAATCTTTGAAACAATACCTACCTGGTAAATCTATTTAGTAGACCTGTAGTTATCACACTATTTGAAAAATGTACTACACAAATTTATTGAAACAAAAAATCTAAATACAGCACAGGAAGGCTTTGTGATATTATAAACATGGAGTTTCTCAATTTTATTTTTTTATTTCATAATATTTTAAGATACATGTGTATTGCCTTTTTTTAAATTTCAGTGCATTAATAAGCAGTGTATCATTGAAATTAAATGACTACTGGAATGAGAAAAGAGGCTCAGGTGTAGTGTTGTAAGTATATATAATATTTGTTTTAATGTGTTTAACACTTCTAGAGACATTGTATGAAAAATTAAGATTTTTTCATGGTTTTGCTGTTTATACAATACTAGAAAAACTGTGTGACCTTTCAGTAATTCTGCTAAATGTTTAATGCAGCTTATTTTTCAAACTCTTAGCGGCACTTTGCTGCCGGGGTTTGATCTGTTAACACTTAATCCACTTCCGGTGCTTTCCTATGCATGAAAGCCTTCTGGGAAATTGAGGCTGCATACTATCTACAAAAAAAACTAGTAAACCCCTACGTTATTCGTATTTATTAAGTAGAAAGGCACCAAGACTAAGTTGTCATCGTAAAGAGCAACCACAATGCATTGCTTGTCCCAAACCATTTACAGTGAAGCACTTGTTATTAGAATGTGTTGACCTTCAGGCAACTCGAGAACATTTCTATGATAATGTTAAATGTCTTTTTAGCTCACTTGGCCTGAGGTGCCAAGTGAGCTTATGGCATGGTGCGGCTTTCGTCCGTCTGACGTCAACTTTTAACTTCTTCTGAATAACCAAGAGGCTGAGGGTGCTTGAATTAGGACAGTAACATGCTGGGATGAAGGGTTACCAAGTTTGTTCAAATAAATGACCTTGACTTATGTTCAAGGTCACAAGGGTCAAATACGTTTAAATCTTAAAACAACTTCTACTGAATAACCAAGAGGCCAAGGATGCTTAAATTTGGCCAGTAACATGCTGGGATGAAAGGCTACCAAGTTTGTTCAAATAAATTACCTTGACCTATGTTCAAGGTCACAAGGGTCAAATACGTTTAAATCTTAAAACAACTTCTACTGAATAACCAAGAGGCCTAGGATGCTTAAATTTGGCCAGTAACATGCTGGGATGAAAGGCTACCAAGTTTGTTCAAATAAATTACCTTGAGTTATATTCAAGGTCACAGGGGTCAAATATGTTTAAAATCTTTAAACAACTTCTTCTGAATAAACAAGTGGTCTAAGGGTGTTGATATTTGGCCAGTAACATGCTGGGATGATGGGCTACCAAGTTTGTTCAAATGAATGAACTTGCATCATATTCAAGGTCACTGGGGTCAAATATGTTAAAAACATTTAAACAACTTCTTCTGAATAACCAAAAGGCATAGGGTGATGATATTTGGCCAGTAACATGCTGGGATGAAGGGCTACCAAGTTTGTTTAAATAAATGACCTTGACTTATATTCAAGGTCACAGGGGTAAAATATGTTTAAAACATTTAAACAACTTCTTATGAATAACGTAAAGGCCTAGGGTGCTTTAATTTGGCCAGTAACATGCTTAGATGAAGGGCTTCCAAGTTTGTTCAAATGAATGACCTTGACATATATTCAAGGTCACAGGGGTCAAATATGTTTAAATCTTCAAATGATGTGTTCTGTATAACCAAAAGGTCCAGGGTAATGATATTTTGCTAGAAGCATGCTGGGTTGGAAGACTATAAACTCTGTTCAACCTAATGGCCTTGTTCGACATTCAAGGTCACGGGCGTCATATGTTTAAATCTTTTAATACCTTCTTATGAATCAAACACTGATATTCTGCCTGTAGTTGTATTTTAGTCCACTTTTAAGTGTGAGATCAATATCAGGTGAGCGATTCAGGCCCATTGGGCCTCTTGTTTTTCAAAACAATAACTGTCTCTACAAATCATAATGAATTAACCTACAAATAATGGATACCTCATAGAATTTGCCCAGTAGGACAGTGGGAGGAAGTAGGTGCAGCAGGGGGGGGGGGTATTAGTCAGCTGCCCTATGACAGTTTTCTTTTCTTTTTATCAACCATTTATTGGCCCTAATGACCTTTCCTTTATTGACTGGCCGTTAAGGATGTAATAATAATATAACTCAAAACTTGGATAATGAACAAAAAATTAAAAGAATATAATTTATTTATATTTAACAGATGTCGCTGAAATTTTCAATAAATTTTTAAGGAAAAATTATTCCAGATATCATGAAACATTTATGATTTTAAGCTAGTTTATGTTGAACAGTGGGGGAAAATTGTTATATAAGTTCTATGCTGCAGTTTCAGAAATACATACTTTATTTTTCATGATCAATCTGACTACTGTATGTTTTACAATGTGACAATACATAATGGGAACATTGCAGAGGAACGCAACCAGCACAAGTCGTTGCTAATGTAAATCCAGACTGGACATGGGCTCAGTGTGACAATTGTCTACAGTGGCGCCGTCTACCTATACAGTTCAGGTCAGAGGACCTTCCAGACAAGTGGTACTGTCACATGAATCCAGATGCACAGTTCAAGTAAGTACATGACCTTAGACATGAATTACTGTGTAATATCTAAATCTATTATGACCAGGCTTTGAAAATCACAAGGATTATTGTCAAGATTGTTGTCATTATTTCTTAAATGAGACAAGAATATAAAGATTATGTTCCTGTTTTAATTTTAGAAAATTATTGAGTAAAACAATGTTTGTGTGCCATATATAATCTTTTTATTTTTAGAATATATTTAGTTCTCTTGATTCTACATCATTATTCTCAAGTTAAAAATCTTGTATTTGTTTTTATGTCAGCATATCACAAGATCCTTTTCATTATTCAGTTTCTGTACTTACTTACCTATATATACTCACAAATATATATATTCACTGGATATTTGTATATATACTATTGTATTGTTTTTTCACCAGTCGTTGCGACATACCAGAGGAACCAGAAGATGAGGATGAATCACTTCATGGACCAACTTATAAAAAAACATTCAAAAAAATTCAGTAAATATCTTTACAATTACTTAACATATTTATTAATGGTAAAAAAATCAGTTACTATCTGTACAAATACTTTTGTAAATGTATTTTATTTCTAAATCAATTATAATATTTACAATTACTTCTGCTTTAACTGAAACTGTCACTAATAGAATGAATCCACTATTGGATTGCTTTGATTGAGAGGTTTTGGTTTGTTATTGTCTCTTCACAGCCGTTGCTAAACAATGTTATTCTGTTTTAGCAGATTGTATTAGGCTTAGGTTTTTATCAAACGTGTATCGTATGTAACATTACATATTTCAGAAATGAGAAGAAAATGCGTCTGAAGATGATGGAGGTAAATATCAAATCAATTGTCAGAGGGCAAAATTATGAATTTTCACAATGAAAAAATCTACTTTTTTCTCCCTTAATTTTCTCACGTAAGATGAGGAGGCATCAGTAATATTAAAACTTTTTAAAATGTCAGTAAGTGAAAGCTATGCAATAACATTTTATAATGTCAGTAAATTAAACTGTCCAATAACTTTTTATAATGTCAGTAAATTACACTGTCCAATAACTTTTTATAATGTCAGTATATGAAACTGTCCAATAACTTTTTATAATGTCAGTATATGAAACTGTCCAATAACTTTTTATAATGTCAGTATATGAAACTGTCCAATAACTTTTTATAATGTCAGTATATGAAACTGTCCAATAACTTTTTATAATGTCAGTATATGAAACTGTCCAATAACTTTTTATAATGTCAGTATATGAAACTGTCCAATAACTTTTTATAATGTCAGTATATGAAACTTTCCAATAACTTTTTATAATATCAGTAAATGTCAATTGTACAATAACTTTTTAAATGTCAGTATATGTAAACTAAAGTAACTTTTTATAATATTAGTAAAGTAACTTTTTGTAATGTCAGTAAATGTAAACTGTACAATAATTTTTTATTACAGTTTAAAATAGCATTTTACTCACTTTTTAGGTAAATCAACAGCGAGCTAGGGAAATGGCTTTACAAGCCCGGGAGCAGGCTCTAAGGCAGCAAGAAGCCAACCAAATCAAAGGCTCCCCTCAAAGTCAGAAGGTTGGTACAGGGATTATCACAGTAAAACATTGGTTTTTACAACTTGATGCAAAATTTGTATTCAAAAGCACCAAAGATAACTTTATAAAGATAGCTTCAGTTAGCAGTTTGTTTTTTACGTCCTATTAACAACTATGGTCATTTAAGGATGTGCCAGGTTTTGGTGTTGGAGGAAAGATTGAGTTCCCAGACAACTGCCCCATGTAGGCCCCAAACCCGCGACCCAGTGGTGGAGAGACAGTGGTAGCAGAATGTCAGACGCCTTTACCACTTGGCCACAGTGGCCCCCCTCAGTTAGAAGACTCAAATACAGGCCAGATTTCGCCATTAAGGCAAAATCTCACTGAACGTTGAGAAAGAAAGACCTGGTTATGAAGGCTGAAATATTAGTTAATACAAATTTTGTTCTGCAGAACAGTTTGCTTTTCATCACAGCTTATCATTTCAGCCCTCTTAATAAACATGCTTCCAGATTCTAACATTGCCCAAAAGTTCAAATATAAACGAACAGAGACAACTGCTATTCTTACAAACTTACTCAATCCTAAGTTCTAAGTTTAATGTCTGCTTTATTAAACACCAATAGTACTAGTTAATTCTGTGACTATGAAACTTCAGATAAAATTTGTAGGGCAGCAAAATCTGCTTTGACAGTGTGATCTTTCCACTGTGTGATATTCTGTTTTTGTGAATTTCAATTTATGCTTTTAATAATTTTTTAGACAAAAACTCGCATTAAAATAAGGCTTCCTATTTCTAATGTTAAATATGGATAGAAAAATACTGTGAAAAAAGCTATACTAATTAATGTTCTATTCTGTCAATTAACAGGTATCCAGCTCACAAGAAAAAAAGTCTGAAAGTGCACAGATGAATAAAATGATGGCGGAATTGGATAAGTTCAAAAAACAAGCTGAGCGTCAACAAAGAATCATTGATCAATTGCAATCCAGAAAAAGGAAAGTGAATGCAAACATTGAGAAAGTAGCTAGTGGTCTAGATACAGATGTAAGTACTAAGTCATTAAGATACAAATACCTAGCGCTATATCTATATTGAATCAGTTGCAGATTAAGTATTAACTCATTAACTCATTCACCCCTGAAGACACATTTGAACTCTTCCAATTCAAAGGTTGGAATCGTTCATCTTGAAATTTCCGGTGTGAATGAGTTAAGATACAAATACCTAGCGATATATCTATAATGAATCAGATGCCAGATTAAGTATTAAGTGAGTTAGGGGTGTTAGTATAAGTCAGGTTGATACAGATTAATTATTAAATGAGGAAGAGGTGTTAGTATAAGTCAGTTTGATACAGATTAAGTATTAAATGAGGAAGAGGTGTTAGTATAAGTCAGTTTGATACAGATTAAGTATTAAGTGAGTTAGAGGTGTTAGTATAAGTCAGCTTGATACAGATTAAGTATTAAGTGAGTTAGGGGTGTTAGTGTAACCTAGGTTGATACAGATTAAGTATTAAGTGAGTAAGAGGTGTTATTATAAGTCAGGTTGATACAGATTAAATATTAAGTGAGTTAGAGGTTGAGTATAAGTCAGTTTGGAACAGATTAAGTATTATATGAGTTAGAGGTGTTAGAATAAGTTAGTTTGATACAGATTAAGTATTAAGTGAGTTAGGGGTGTTAGTGTAACCTAGGTTGATACAGATTAAGTATTAAGTGAGTAAGAGGTGTTATTATAAGTCAGTTTGATACAGATTAAGTATTAAATGAGTAAGAGGTGTTAGTATAAGTCAGTTTGATACAGATTAAGTATTAAGTGAGTTAGAGGTGTTAGTATAAGTCAGGTTGATACAGATTAAGTATTAAGTGAGTTAGGGGTGTTAATATAAGTTAGTTTGATACAGATTAAGTATTAAGTTAGTGAGAGGTGTTAGTATAACTTAGGTTGATACAGATTAAGTATTAAGGTAGTGAGAGGTGTTAGTATAAGTCAGTTTGATACAGATTAAGTATTAAGTGAGTAAGAGGTGTTGTTATAAATCAGGTTGATACAGATTAAGTATTAAGTGAGTTAGAGGTGTAAGTATAAGTCAGTTTGATACAGATTAAGCATTAAGTGAGTTAGGGATGTTAGTATAAGTCAGTTTGATACAGATTAAGTATTAAGTGAGTAANAAAAAAATAAAATAAGTCAGTTTGATACAGATTAAGTATTAAGTGAGTTACTTAGATACAGATCCATAATGAGTTAAATAAAAGATGATTACCAAGTTAAGGATTCTTTAATATTAATTAGATTAATTTTGCTTTCAATCATATTTCCATAAAGCATATAAAGTTGAACCTCGTTATCTCAAACTCTTTTAACTCAAAGACCCTGTTTATCTCGAAATATTTCTCCGGTCCCAGCCAAATCTCTTCTTTATCTTAGTAAATTAAACTCTGATAATTCGAACCCTGAAAAGTCAAAAACTCGGATACCTCGAAGTAAGATATTGGTTTTGATAGCGTAAAATCCAACATCACAACATCTTCAACTGCATAGTGTTCAAATTTCATTTTATCACTTATTAATCATTTGATACAAATAAAATGCGAACATCCCGCCATTCCCTGTTTATGAACATCTTCTGTGAGTAGACATGCATGAAATCGGTAAAAAGAATATACGATTAAGCTTCAGACTGTAAAGTGTGCGGACTGGCAAAACCATGTTTTTCATAATAAAAATAAAAATAAATCAATAATGTTGATCAACAGTAGTCTGTACTTACTATGAGTCCGTTTAATGATTTATACACCCAAACAGATGACAGTGCAAACCGGAAAATTGGTCAATAAGCGTGGTCATGCACAATAGAGTTCCACTGTTAAAATCGCATCCTAGGACAACTTCACGGGTTCATGTTTTTACAGGAGCCAGTATGGCTTTAAAAGTCGATCGAGAGATTTAAGAACAATATGATAATTGCTGTTGATTACATCAAGTTGAGGAGGTGTCAGGTGCCACATTTGACTTTAATTAATCAATGTGTTACATGTACGATATAATCTGTTTTCATTTACAGAACCAACTATGCGTACGCTTCATTACAGTGATTTGTTTTAGACTTGCGCACTTCAATTTCCGCAGTGCATAGTACAACGACCAAGACAGCGGGATAGTTCAAGTTTTAGCTCACCTGGTCTAAAGGACCATGGTGACCTTATGCCATACTGTAACGTCCGACGTCCGTCCGTCAATTCTCCTTTAAAACGCTACTAGTCCTGAACGACCAAGTAGATTCTGACTAAATTTGGTCTGTAGCATGCCAAGGGGATTCAATTTTCCATAAACAGTGGGTGTGGCCCCCCTAGGGGCAGAGGGGCGGGGCCCAATATGGGAAATAGAGGTAAAACCTTTAAAATCCTTCTTTTACCATAGGAATTAAGGGATTTTATCCTAATTTAGTCTGGAGCATCCTTGGGCCAAGGGGACTCAATTTGTATAAATGGTGGGTCTGGCCCCCTGGGGGCTGAGGGGTAGGGCCATATAGGGGAAATATAGCAAATTATTTAAAATCCTTCTTCTGTAGGAATGAAAGGATTTGGTCCATATTTGGTGTGGAGCATCCTTGGGTGAAGGGAACCAATTTTGTATAAACAGTGGGTGTGGCCCCCCCTGGGACCTGAGGGGCAGGGCCCAATAAGGGAAATAGATGTAAAACCTTTATAATCCTTCTTCTACCATTTAGTCTGGAGCATCCTTAGGCAAAAGGGATTCAATTTTGTATAAACAGCGAGTGTGCCCCCCCTCCCTGGGGGCAGAAGGGAGGGGTGCAATAGGGGAAACATAGCAAATTCTTCAAATACTATCTTCTTCTGTACGAATGACTGGATTTTGTCCAAATTTGGCATGAAGCATCCTTTGGTGAAAGGGAACCAAGGGGGCCAAGGGGTCTCAATTTTGTATTATTGGTTGGTATGACACCCCCCCCCCCCCCCCCTAGGAGCATAAGGGGTGGGGCTCTGTTCGTAGTTTGTTCTCGCTTTATCTCAAGTACTGGATGGATCTTTCTACCATGGAGTGCTATATCTTTACTTCATACCATTATTTTAAACATATTCAGGTGAGCGATACAGGCCCTCTCGGCCTCTTGTTAAATGTAACACTTCAGAAGTAAAACTTGACAGACTTGCAAATGCAGACCTGGAAAGACTTTGCCAAGATCTAGACTAGCCAAAACAACATTTAATCACTAGGCCCGTCCATATTTAATAATGAATTCACAATATGGTCCAACCGTTTTTATCGCATTAAACGAAGTACGTTTTTCAGAAATAACTTACTCTATTTTTGTAAGCGTGTTCATTGTAAAATTACATACCTGTATTTGTTATATTGATTACGTATATCATTCATTGATTGATTACAGTATAAGCATTGGCTATTATTAAAATCAACAACTGCTAGTGCTGTCTTAACAGCAAATTTCATACCAAATTTATGAATCTGCATAACTCAAATACTCTGATGACTAAAGTTTTCCCACGGCCCCGTCAACTTCAAGTTAACGAGGTTCGACTGTACTTTGAAACAGAGACAGGGAGGATGTAGTAGTCTAAAGAATTTCTTGTTTGTTAAGATAGTCATATAAATAGACAACTTCCTATAATTTGCAATTTGACATGTAATAATTAGATTCCCCAAGTTGTTTTTGCAAGGTAAACATTTTGATATCAATTCTTATTTGACAGAGTCTGTTGGAGAGTGTGGCTGGAAGTAGTCCCAGGGCTGTATCATCTACCAGGTATGAAGAATATGACCTAGTTAAGTCTCAAAACAAGGCTTGTCTAAAAAATGTTTGAGACAGTTTTGCTACTGACAGTAAGTCTGTAAGAATTAAAGTTGTATCCATTTATACTGGTGATTTTCAACCAAATGCAGGGCGGTTTATCATCTTCTCCCTTCTCCTCCTGCCCAGTGTAAATCATCACATCATACTCATAATTCTTATTTGTTTTTAATTCTAGTTCCAAGGACAATGAGTCAATATGTATCAAGACAGAGGATGGAGATGTGGTGGCAGTAATTCCCTGTAATGAGCCCAGCTCCTCTAGTGACAATGATATAGTTGATCTCACATTGGATGACGAGGATTTGGAAGCATCCACATCAAAAAAGCCAAAAATTTCCTCTACAAATCAAGAGCCTAAACCAGACATCAGCAAAATTAAGATAGAGAAAGATGTTATTAGTTGTAACCATGACATTGGAACACAGACTACAGAACGATCTAAAGGGTGCACACGGGACTGCGGAAAGAAGATCGAGGAAGGCAAAAAACACTTAACAGAACTTCAGAGAAAGGTGTTTAAGCTTCTGAAAATCATAGTCCCTGATGAGGATATAGGAACGCCTGATGGAGTGGAAGAAATAGTGACAGAGATGATTAAACACAACCAACCATCATAGTGCTTCATTGTAGTGTATTGTTGTCCCTTCAGTGTTCTTGTAAGCCTTCAATTCCTTGGCGAGCTCACCCATTGGTCCCTTAAATATTCTGTACATTTGATTCACAAGTCTTTCAGAATATGTATTTTATTTTTGAATATCATCAAAACAAAGAAATTAAGTTGTTTGTTTTTGTAACCTTTGAATTTCCACTGAATGTGCTGTTCTATGTAAATTAAATTATTGAATTAATCTTTCTCTTTTAGAGATATCTTATTTCTGTATGGAGTTTTCAACATAGCCAACAAAGCATGGTTTATAAAAGTATCAATAGTCTATGACTATTACATAACTCGTTCAATTGCATCAGATAAAAAATTTGGATGTGGTATATCCTGTTGTAATCAAAAGAAAAATAATAGAACTCGCCCACTGATTATTTGAATAAAATACTGTTTAAACTAAACATACATGTACTTTGAAAAAAATCTAAATGATAACAGGTGAGCAACTAAACATACAATGGAACCCTTGGGTTCCTTGTTAAAAAAGCTTTATTTCTTTGTTAATATGTTCTGTATATCTGTGTCGCGGTAAGTACAACCATGTCAAGATGAACTAGCTATGATGATTACTGTACTGAAGGGCTGTGTTTGAGCTTGACAGGGTGTTCTACGCTTTCAGGCTACTAGAGACTGTTGTTAATGTAGAAACAGATTTGTCATATAATTGATGTTAGTTAGGTGTGTTTGAAGGAGAGTGTCATAGCTCCTTTCTTTAGTATATTTAAATAGTATTTGTTTTGTTCTGTTCTTTGTACCACTCCCAGGTAATACAAAACGTGCAGGGATATTGTGATCATTTTAATGCAGATACTTTTCATTCCAACTGTCTGTACAGCAAATTTCTTTTAATCAGACATCATTTGAGACAAAATGTAAATCATCTATAGTGAAGTTTTATTCCTTTTCTTAGACGGCTATCTATAAACATTGTCAAATCATTATTTAAAAGAAAAATAATGCAATTATAAGTTAAATGTAAAGAAGAAAAATTTGCAATTGTGATGCAAGCACTTAAGTTGTTTTTTCGTTTAAACATGACTGCTGTGCTGTGAAATTTATTACCAGAGGTACGTTCAAAATGTTTTGCACAGTTTAGAGTGTTTCTTGTTTAGGCCTCCATAAATCAAATGTCAGTAAAATATTTCAATAAGCCTTCAAAAATGTTTTTGTTTCTGAATACACTCCTGGTGTAAATTTTGATAGTGTTGAGATTTAGTGTACTAACTTTTCATTTCCTCCTGATAAATTCTTTCATCAAAGAATTACACCAAGCTATAGAGCTGAACACAGGTCTAATGCTGTATCAAAGTTCTACCTAAAAGGTGTTATCGACAATGTACATTGTTTGTGTATGAGGTAAAACTTTGATATGACATATTCATAGGCGTCAACCTCTGAACCTCAAATGAGGGAGATCTCCCACATTTCTATTGAGGGAGAAAGTGCATGAAATGCGACTGAAACTGTTTTTTACTCAAATTATCTTTCCCTTTTTATGTATCAAAATAACTCCAAAAAGCATTAATTTGATTCAGACACACCTGTTATGATCATTACACACACCCATATCCAAATGGATGAATCCTATTGAAGAAAGGTCTAGTGCTGAAATAGTGTCATCAGAAATTTGTTGTACAAAACAGCAGGTTCTTTTTTGATAGCCATAAGTAAGGCTTCAACAAAGATAAATATGTGCATCATTTATGCTGTCCGCTGCATATGATTGTAGGGTTTAAGTTTTAGCACACACAAACTCGTGAACAGATGTCATGTATTCTGCCATCTTCATTGATGATAATTTAGTATGTATTTGATATATTTTGATCATGTGTGCAGTCTTCCCATTTATTTGCAGTGTTGAATTATTTCACTTTGCATTGCATTTATACTGGTTTGTGGAAGTTTTGTAACTACATCTATTGTACATTTCACTCATTGATTCGTTATGTGGAATAACCACACCATGCTATTGTACTTATTTTCAAGTGTATCCCTGCATATGTTGGTGCTATGACAAAACAAGGTGTTTGCACTAGCATTGCGACTGAGCAATATTGGATTTTTCATCGGTTTGCAGCTATGCAAGAAACTAATAACTATATATATGTAAACAAATCTAGCAGATACGGTTAATCTAGTCATAGATTGTCTTTTAGTAGTTCATGAGTCTCTGCTCTGTAAAAATCCTACTTGTTTTATATAATTGTAATTCATAATTTTGCCATTGAAAAGAGTTGTGTATATGTATAGTTGCACATTTTTCAGAACTCAGTGATGTTTTAATTTTGCAAACACCAGAAGATAAAAATTACGAAGTGGTTTTTTTATGCCATGGTGCAACATCCGCCGTCAACTTTTTACTTAAAACAACTTCTTCTGAATAACCAAAAGGTCCAGGGTGATGATATTTGGCCAGAAGGATATTGGCATGAAGGGCTACCAAGTTTGTTCAAATGAGGTATGAAGGGCTACCAAGTTTGTTCAAATGAGGTATGAGGGGCTACCAAGTTTGTTCAAATGAATGACCTTTGCCTTTATTCAAGCTCTTTACAGGACTTGTTCTGAATAACTAAAGCGTACAGTGTGATAGCTTGTTCATGTGAATGACCTTGACACACTTTCATGGTCACATCTGGTACATAGTGCATAAATCTTTAAAAGTCTTCTTCTCAATAAACAAGGTATAGGGTGGTGTTAATTGGCAAGTTGCATTCTGGGATGAAGGGCTATAAAGTTTGTTCAACTTCATGTCCATGTTTGACTTTCAAGGTCACAGGGATCAAATGTGTTTTAATCGTTTAACAGATTCTTCTGAATGACTTTAAAGTCAAGACACTGATATTTTGCCTGTAGCTTTATTTTAATCCACTTTTAAGGTTACAATTGTGAGATTAATGCCAGGTGAGCGATGCAGGCTCATTGGACCTTTTGTTTTAATGTATCATTTCATTCATGTTTTTACACATTATTTTTATTGTTCTTTTATCAGTTCTTTTATAAATTTTACATGTTAAGGACAGAGCTTCGACAATTCAACATGGATCTTCAACATACTTTTTCAGTGGAATGATTTAATATGTATTGTATAATGTTTCATTTTTAATAAAAAAAAAAATCATGTAATAAAAGTATAAAGTATAAATCATTCACAATCCACAATATTGTACTTATATTTAAAAATTGTTCTGCATTGCAAAATTAAACCGTCTCGACACTAAAAGCAACTACAGGGGCCGGGATTCCATTTATTCCTTGTTACTAAGTGTCACATTTCAGTTAGGGTAAAGAGTATGAATGCACAGGTTATTATCAGGGTAAAGAGTATGAATGCACGAGTTATTATCATGAAAGAAAAGCTCCATGTCAGAGCTACTTTTTTTTTTTACAGAAGCAGTTAAAAACAAAATTCTGGTTTAGAATTTCTTACTCTTTCCAAAGTGTTCATCTCTCATTTCGATGTAATGCATTTATAATTCCTGGATAACAATATTGATAAAGTGTAGAAATCACAGTTCAATCTCTATATTTTTTTTTCCAAATACTCAAATTTCAAACACCTATAATTATGTAAAATGTGAGATATGAAATGGAACATTCCTGTTGAAAAGGTCTTAAACAAATCTTTCATAGTTTTTAAGATGGTATTTTTTAACTTCAAGTTAATGGTACTCTTTACCTTTATATCATGTTTTTATAAAACAGCATTTTACTGGATATATATTATGTAAATAGTGATGGTTGGTAATCATGTTTATCTAAATCAAGTTAATTTACGGAGTATCGTTTACAATTTAAAAATGAACTAATGAGGTTAGATAAACATGATAACCAACCATCACGAGTTTAGGCACCTTTCTCTCCTACAACATTCAGATATTATATCTAGAAAAACATGTGTCTCTTGGAAATACATTATTCCTGTTTCTGATCAGGGAAACAGTTGCCATGAACTTTGACACCACAATGGAAGATGATGCCTGAAAGCTTTGTTACTCGACATAATAGTAAAAGATTGTCCAGCGAAATTATGTCCGGGTGTTGCCCACTTGTGGGTAACCAAAAATGTTTACTAACTCCTGGCAGGTTTATCTAATGAGTCATGAGTGAGGAAACCTACAGTTGTGGGAGGAATATAAATTAGTTTGTGATAAATATGTTGTTTGATTTGTAATGAACCCTTCTTAATGTAATCCAATATTGTCAACTTGCCAAAATATCACATGAACAAAAATGCCATGTACAGGCTTACAACTCCTCCTTTGGCCAGTCACTAACTATATGTGTGCAGCCTAGACGACCTTTCTTATGAAGGCCTTGTGGGTGTATTTTCTTGCCTTCACTTGCAATATGAGGTAAAACAATAGTGGATGAGGGTGTCTTCACTGCAGCGTTCACTTTGATATGTTATGATAGGGGCACTCATATATACAGGTAATATTGAAAATTTCCTTTTTTTTAAAATCTCGCATGTGCATCCACTTCCATCTTTCTACAACAAAAGTAAGTTGTTTTCACAGAAATACTGTTGTTTCTTTTGATGTGACATTTTACTTGATATCATATATTCTTCATGCATTCTTCTGAAAAAATTATTAGAAATATAAAGCATACGGGTGTTTTGGCGCTTTTAGCCAAAAATAACATATTTATGTTGGTTTGTTTTATTTTTCCGTCATAAAAAGTTCAGGCAACTTGATTCATATGAAATTTTGAGTTAATATTACACACTTATTGCCCTTGTTGTTGGGGAATATGATTCTTTGTTTCTCTGAGTTTAATTGTGTTTTACGTCATGAGATCAATATCATCCAATCAGACAGTCTTATAGAGATACGGTATGATAATTATCAATAGTGGGATCATCCTTCTGATGGGAGCCCTTCTGATAATAGTATAATGCTTTAAAATATTTGAAGGCCAAAGGGTCTAAATGGTAAATTATCGAGAGTCACAAATATAGAAGCTTTATTTTACACATAATGTAATAGTTACTAGCACTGTAGTGCTATTCTTGCAACAAACAAGTGTAAATAATGACCACAATCTGTTTATATACCACTTTGATGAACATTTATTAAAACCTAATTAAGATTCTTTTTACACCGTGATACTATATCAGTATTGCATTGTGCTGAAATTGCCTTCTGTTTTGGAAATGGATGTAGAACCATATTTTTCAATAGAAACTGGATATCGAAGAATGTGTGAGAGTCATGAACTGGTAGTGGAAAGTGTGAACTGTTTTGTTTCTGAAAAAGATTTCATATCTGCCAAGCTCTCAGCAATGAAATGAGGGTCACAGATTGTCAAAATGCAGGTCAAGCTTGCTAAATGCAAGTTACTTCAATATATAAACTTTTCAAAATCATAAAAATTAGTAGTATGGCATGTAAACTACCAGGCATTAAAATTTGCCTTTTTAATACAATACTAGTATGTCTTTTCTAACAGGTATTTTGACATACAAAAAGGTGAAGGTTTTTTTTTTTTTAGATAAAACATAATATACAATCTGCAGGTCATGGAGGACTTTTGCTGGTTGACCTATGCAGGTGACTTGGCAGATATGAGCTCTACAATCATAATTGAAGGTAATTGGAGATTAAGATTGGAGGAGATTAATACATACACATGTTATGGGACATGTTTATGTTTGAAATCAATTCTGAAAAAGCATACCATTATTGTCATTGGTAATTAGAATTTTTCCAGATATATGTATTTGTATTGGCCACATATTTAAATATTAATCTTGTAATGTAACTCTAAATGTTTTTTTTTTATTTATTTATACAAGTGCATATTTGTAAGGTTTGATTTGAATTGTTACCGTGTAAATATATATACATTAATTCTATGCTTACATCGGTGTGTATATTTGAGACATGGCATGTGTACTTAGTTTTATGTTGATAAAGACTTCATTTAATGTATCCAAGCTTTCCTAGTACTTTTTGTTAAGGATGACCAGCTTTGTGACCCTTAATGCATAACTCAATTCATATTTGATACATCCCTTTGCTTGTTGATCAATCAGCTACATTGATACAGCAACACAATTACTGTATGTTGATCTATCAACATCAAGTTCCTTGATGCGATGAATATCTGATTTGGCTGGTATGATGTATATGAAAACAGCTGTATGTATAACCATCCGTATCAAGTCAAACTTTTGACTTGGTACATTGAAAACCTTGATAACTGTATATTGATAAATAAGCTTTTAGATTTTTGATGTATAACTTATTGTATGTTGCTGTATTATGAATTCCATGTGTTGATCTGTCAGCTTTGATTTCTACGATACATTAAATTTCTAACTTTTAATAGCTTCAGCTCCTCCATTTCGGTCATATACTCCTTTCAGTAATTCATAAAAAGATAAATTGTATTTTGTTAAATAGATATATACATTAACATGTATTTGAATTCCAGTTTCACTTAGGAAAAGATCGAATTATATGCTTACTTATTCAAGATTGACCTTTTTCTGGAAACAAAAATTAAGGATCTTCGTCTCACTGCAGGTCAAACACCTAGAGAATTTCACTGTCCCTTTTTCATACATGCAATAACCTCCTTTTCAATTTTGTTTGGATAAAACTAGCTGAACTTGTGATCAGTTGGTTAGAGCGATAGTGTAATGATCAGCAGCTCGGGCTTAAATCCTGATCCAGCATTGTCACATTTTTACACTCAGAACATTGAAAAATGCACAAGGCATGGTTTCCTTTTAAAAATGAATTATCGAAGAAAGTAGCCAATGGTAGATAGTTTTTGGCAGTGGTGTGAGGATTCTTGAGAAAACCATTATTTCTGAGAATATGTAAAATATATAACTGAAAAAGATATGCTTTTCAGTTTCAAAGAAAAATATTGAACAAAGAAAAAACAAGCTTTTCATCAGTTGGTATAGGATAATATTTTGTCCTTATTTTTTCCCTTCTGTCAATATCATGTGTCGGATAATGTTAACTTGTAAATCATCAATTTAATTTTAATAAATTCAATATGTTTTTTTATTTTTTTTCTCTGATCCGTCTTCCTTTTTGCATCTTTAAACAATCCACATTTTTTTTACTTAGTCTTAAAAATGTTGCATTGGTTTCCATTTAAAAAACTCTGAAGATGTCTGCATTGAAGCTGCTATGACCAAAAGTGTGAATTATTTGTTTCCCTCCCCCAGGGGCTTGAGGTTCAGAGCCCAAAGTAAGCATATTAGCTAAAATTTCCAAAATCTTCTTCATACCCAGAAACCTATAATCAAATATGAATGGAAAAGTCTTGCATGTTGGATGAAAATTAGGAACTTCATTACCCTTGGGTTATCCCCCCTCCCCTTGGTCTGAAGCTTCACTGGGCCAGAGTGAGTTTATGTTGCTCACATTTTTCAGCATTATTTAGTCAACAATCCACATGGC